TAAACAATGATATGAAACTAGAGATAATAAACAGTAATATGAATAGTAATAGTTAGATCATATTAAGTAAAATTTCCTAGTTAAGAAGTGGGAGGAGTGAGAGATATTAAAACTTCCTTAGAACCTAAAGCTATCATGTGATTGTGAAACTAGTCAATGCTGATTGGAATAAAAAGAGAGATCTTATGAATTTTTGTAAATTTAAATTCCATGGAGAATTTATGAAGATGATTTAATTCTGTGTTTTAAAAGTCAAATTTCTTAAAGATGGGTTTCCTTAGTTTCATTTATGAAAATGCTAATACTTATATGAATAGAAAGCGGAGGTGTTCTAATAACTTGGAAAAATACCAATTTGTCTCACATGTCTGTAATTAATTTCATAATTAGCTAAATTAGAAAGGTCAAAAAAGTCTTTTTTTGTTTATCCAGACTGTATATACATGGACATTTATGATTGATTAAAACTCTTAATTAGATCCAATATTAGAAAACAATGATATGTAATAAATTTTATTGTAGAATAAAAAGGGTACTGAGTTATGGTTTGGAGTAGATTGTAGGGGTATTAATGTGTATGAAAGAGATAACAGATTATCACCCAAGGTCACATTTCCTTGGAGCGAAATAAAAAATATTTCGTTTAAAGATAAGAAGGTAAAGTCCATTAAAAGATACATTTCCAAAATTTATTACATGATTTAAATGATATGAAAGGATTTACATTATTGCAATGGTATTATTAATGATTCATATTGAGACAAGTTAAAGTCGCAGGTTAGAAGATACTTGGTTTTGATAAAGAAGGTGAAAATTGCAGAAGAGTTTCTCTCACAACATTATTTTTCTCATTTCCCACTGCATGGACTTATCAGATACAGCACACAAGTGTATACATTTCAATTTCTATTTTGTAGTTTACAATCAAAAATGTTGATAAAAAGGCTCCAGATTTTATGTTTTATGCTCCTAAGTCAAGAATCAACAAACTTGTAAGTAAACCAACTAGTTCACTTTTATACGCTCACATAATTACATTTCTATTTCCAATGTCGGTTTGTCAGTCCATACATAGTTAGTTTGTGATGGCAATCGAGGCAACAGTTTCTATAAGTTTTTGATAAGACTTTGTCTGCAGGTTTATATTCAAAAGCATTATGTATTTAATTGGTTTATTAGTAGATATTAGAATTATGTATTTTATTGGTTTATTAGTAGATATTAGAATTAGGTATTTTATTGGTTTATTAGTAGATATTAGAATTAGGTATTTTATTGGTTTATTAGTAGATATGAAATTATGTAATTTATTTTTAGATATTAGAACTATGTGTTGGTAATCATGATTTGTTTATGAGAAGAAGAAAACCAGACTCAATGGAATTC